ATAAAAGAATGTTAGGGTGCTGAGAGAGAGTAGGTTCGAAACTCTCATTCTCAAACCCTCATTGCTGAACTCTCAAGCTCTCCTCTCTTCAATTTTCTTCAGAAATCAATGCAGTTTCCCACCAAACCAAAAACATGATTCTAAAATAGTGATAAGTAATCCATAAAACAAGTAACAGACAAGGATTGAGCAAATGACATCCTAGGTTTCTAAAGAAGTTCATTACCTAATGCTTGTCCTAACAACCCAAGGTCTTGGGAGGGGTGGACTGGATACAGACTGAGGTTCAGCATTTTTAGCACAAAGAGGCCATTCTTGAGTTTCTATTCTATATAATGTGATTCCCTAGCATAAAATACTGATACAAAAATTTCTTCTGACATATCAAATGTAAATGGCCGGTATCCTTGTAAAAAAAATGTACATGTATATAAAATTGTTGAAAACAGATAGGTCATTACCCAATGCAAGTCCTATCTACATGAATGTCAAGCACAAACCTGAATTCTCACACTTGTCATACTGAGGTATTACCATTGCACCAAGCATTGGTATGCTTATGATGCATGGAATCAAGATTCCCATGTGAAGCTAGGCAACTAAGGAGCACCTTGTCACCGTAGGTGCCTAGGTGATGGATTTTTTTAAAAGAATAAACCTAAACCCTAGGGTAATTCCCTAAGTTTCATAGAAAATCATCTTTCAATAAGGTTCAATTTGTTTGCAGTGTGAATTTCATTTGCACTGGTGTAAATGCATGGGACTGAAAATAGGCTGTACAAATTAAATTCTGGTTTACTTATGCTTCTTTTTTTTTAAGAAAGGTAAGGTATATTGCCTCAGATTTAACTGTCTTATTTGTTTGTGAGAGATAAAGTACAAAGTAAAATGAACTAATGAAGTAGTCCCCATTTTATAGGAAAAAGAATGGAGGTAGGAGGGTTATTTGTTTGGGAGTGAGGTAGGAAGCAAGATGATAGGTCACTACTTTATATGAGAGTAAATTGAGGTAAGGGGAAGGTGGTGCAAATTTTGCATCAGTTTTTGGGGTGCAAAATTTGCATTGCCAATGAGTGCAAATACAAATATGTACAGTACAAAGCCTTGTGTTTTGTATTTCTAAACCAGTATTTGCACTGTACATATTTGTATTTGCACTCCTTCCAAACTGAGCAAAAAGTACAAATTTTGATCCAAACAGATATAAAACTGAACCGGGTGCAAATTTTGTGTTTGGCTCAGATTTGTACTGCAAGCAAACAGGGCCTGATAATCATCAATAACCTTCACCAAATAGGACCAAATAAGTATAAACTCCATAGAAAACATAGAAGATTAACATGTTCATAAGAAGAAAAACAAGAAAAAAGAAAAAACATACAATAAAGGGGCTGAGCCTTTTATGTCTTAAAAAAAGAAAACAGAAAGGGAGGAGAGGTGGAAACCCTGTTTACCAGGAAAAGAAGAAAAGAAAGGGGTGGAAGAAGGAAACATACTTTGGTTGCTCTTGTGTCTTGATCTAACTCTAAATAATAAAATAGTAAAAAGAAACTGGTATATGAATTATAAAAATGAATAATTTAGTGTAATAATGTATATTGTAATATTATAATATCACTACATATAGCTTCGACTATGATACCAGAAAGACATGATATCCAAAAAATTTGTAACCAATCAACCAGTATCATAAATGTGCTAACCAATCGAGTGGAATTTATCAAAATTCACAGGTGGGTTTTTTATTGGTCAAAACTCTTCCGGTACCATCTCTTTCCAGCATCATAGATTTTCCCGTACAAAAGTGTACAAAAGCAACTAGAAACTAGGCACTTGGGCAAGGTGACCCTCCATGGGAACCTTGTTGCCTAGACCACCCGCCTAGACATCCTTGACAACTATGGCTGTTGTACATTTGGGGTCTGAGGTTGGACGATGAAAACATTATGACACCATTAAGGTTTTGAACATGTATCACAATCTAAGTAACTAAGCCATTCCCTCAAGTGGGGTTGAGCTTTTCTCTTTCCATTACTGGTTGGATGTATCTCCTGGCCTTTAAATTGAAGTCCATAGTTAGATTGGGCCCAATCACACACCACTAGGCCCAACTGACGGAGCCAATGAATTCCAAGAACCACATCTACACCAGTGAAGTCCAGGGGATGGAGGTCCACTGAAACTTGATTCTTTTGAATCTTTAGGCCCACCCTACATATTCCATCATACGAGATATAGTTTCCATCAATGACATGGACTGAGAAGGGAGAAATGGGCTCTACAGATAGAACCAACTGCTTAGTAAGTATAGTGGTGATAAAATTCAAGGAACTCCCACTAGTGAGAATTGATACCTCGTATTGATCAAAAAAATAAAGAATTGATACCTCGCAGCCCAAGATCAGGTACAACACTCTCATAGTCTGTGGGGAGCTTAGCCCAATGAAGTGAGATCTCACGGTATCGCTTCCCATACCATCTTTATCAGATCTAGTGTGATTCTCCACTTCACATCCATCTGATTCTTCAGTCATCTCATCTACTTGTAAAAGATAAATATGTTGGGCCCTACAGCAGTGTCCCAGCATGAGTATTTCATCATAGTTATAGCAAAGGCCTTTCTCAGGTCAGGTATACATTTCAGTCCATGAGAGCTTCTTAAATGGTAAATAAGTGGAACCAACAGGCTTCCCATGCCCTGTTCTGACTTCAAGGGAGGAGTCTTAATGGCCTATTGTAGTTTTGCAAGCCCAACCACAGTCATCACTGAGGTTGGCTGCATGACCTTCACCTCTAAGCGAATGTACTCCCTTGATCCCCCCCGACAAAACAGCTTGCGAGAGATTTTTCTGGCCAACCATGAACCCTGGTTGCCAACCTGTCAAATTCGATTTGATTCTTTAATAGATCTAGTCTGTTTAAGATTAGACAACATTTCAACAAAGTGCTCAAATCCTGAGGGGCCAAATCTAACACATAAGGCCTTGGTGGATGTGATCTGTGGTACCACTGGTACTACATGATAGCCTCACCATCCAAGTGGGTCAAGGCAATAAAGACTCACTGTGAAGCTAGAGTCTCATGAAATACATAGTATCATTTGGCAAGATATATCCACGAAATTGGATCCTCACCTGAATATACTAGAAAACCAAGTTTGACAATCTGTCTAGCAACATTTCCTCCTCTTTGAACGCTTACACAACTCGATCCTTCAGTATCACTCTCCTTACTGGGCCACTGGCTGAAGTTGTCATCCTCTCGGATTGAGTGACTACTGCTAAGAGAGTTTCTTTGATATCCTTCATATCTCCAGCCATCTTGTGGAGATCCACCTTGATCCGATCAACTCTCTCCTCTGACATGGATCTGGTGTGAGTCATCCTGGATTGAAGCTCTGATACCAGTTGATATGTTTGCTCTGAGTTCAGCTGCTTTGAGGGAGATGTGCATCCTAAAATGGAAGATGAGAACAAGAGAGAGAGAGAGAGAGAGATATTTGGAAGGAAAAAAAAATAATTCAGATATGGTTTATTCTTCAATTCAATTAGCTATTTATAGCCTTTTACAACCGAGGGAACTCATCTACACACTCTAATTGGGGTGACATTCTTGAGTAAACAAATTTGAGAGGTGGTGTGCTTTGCATGACTCTCCCTTGGTTGACATCATCTGCTGATCAAGCTACTGGAGCCTGGGCCTGGGACTGGGCTGAAGTGTTATGGGTTGTCTCTTGGGTTCCAACAGACATCCCATGTCTTTCTTGAGTGTCAACACTTGAACATGCACCCATGTAAAATAGTTGGTCACTAATTATTATTTGAAGGTTAGCTTTTGCTCGGGGATGGATAAAACTTATTTCATGGGATAGATATCATGCAAAATTTTTAAATTGATGATGTAAATAAGGAGTCTTAAACAACGGATGACTGTTGCGAAGTAGTTTGAGAAGATGAAATGTGTCTGCAACCTAAACAGTGTAATAAATCCACAGCAAGTTTCCACTTACAAACTCATGTTTAGAAACACCAACCTCAGAAGGATCATCTCATGTTAAGCATCACCATCCAGCCATATAATAGAGGAATAAACCTTGTGTAAGGTAATCAAAATAGTTGAAAAGAGGACCATGTTATGTGCTCCAAATGAAGGTAGATGGTACCATCAAATTCCACTTTACAGTGGGTCAATAGAAGAAATTGGTTAAATGATCAAGCATACGTTATCGGTTCAGATTTATATAAATATTCACCATGATGTTGTGTAAAATGGATGTGATAGAGTTGTCAATGGATCTAATATTCATGTTGGTCTAATTCAAATCCTATTAAATTAAGCAGAATTAAAATCCAAGTTCAGATCCATCAAATATTCAAATCACTTGATTGAAATCCGACCACAATTCAATCCAATAAATATGCAATTAGATTGTTTTTGTATATAACGTATGTTTAACCAATAAATGCAGAGGATATGCTTATATTTCACAAAATGAAATGCAAATTACCTAGATCTGCTCTGAGCGCAGCTTGTTGGCGAAGCTAATATTACATCATTCAGAAAGTGATTCAACAATATGTGCTTGGTCAGATCAGTTCAGCCTCTTTGGAATCTAAGAAAGAAGCTAATGAATCTAAAAGGAAGAAAGAGACCAAAAGTATAACCAAGCACATGTTGCTGTAAGAAAAAGCTAAAAAATAGATCTGCCAATATGTTCTAAGCGGGAAAGTTCTCCAATCTCCATTAGTTTGAAACTGTGATAATGCATGTTTGCAGAGAAAGATCCACTAAAATATGATAAAAGGAAAATCTAGTGGATTCACCAGTAACTTCATCTTGGTCCATTAGCACATATGCAGCACCATCCACTAGGATTATTTGATAATGAAATTCCAATATGTGTTCCATCAATCTTACATTTGGTCCGGAAAGACCTACTGTACATGCTATATAAACAACTATGCAGATCAGAAGCACATTGTTTTACTTACAAGTGCATTTCAAGAAAAGCCAAAAGTGCTAAACCTGCAGCCCAAACATCATCATCCAAAACATGCTCTGCAGGGGAGTGACTAATTCCTCCACGACAACGAACAAACAGCATGCCAACCTGATCAAATAGCAGTGCAGACATCACTAACACTACCAGAATCATGCTTAACTCATCCCATATGAGGAACAAGGAAACCAACCTTAGTTAAATGGGACATAGCCATTGCATCATGTCCTGCTCCACTCATCAGCACCGGAGCTTCATCTTGAATCTCGCTCACCATTATTTTCATTGCAGAATAAGCTGCTGATTTCAGCTGCAAACTGAGTCCAGGATCACATATAACTGCTTCTGCATCATGCTGAAATGACCCAAGCTAGATGAAGTCAGTGACTGCAAACTGTAAAGATATACAACATGAGTGGAACTCCCAGACCTTACGTTCAATGACACAAGAAACTGAGCGCCGGTCACATGTTTGATAAATCTGGTTTGCTAATTCAAACAGAACAGACTCTCGTGCCATGTCATCTATTGCACGTAAATCTACAGTAAAGTTTACCTGCAACCATAAAATTCATGTACCATTCTTCATTTTAGAGAAACATATCAAACAAAAAGATGGCAATAAGAGCAACCAGAGATCTGGGTAATTACCTCGCCTGGAATTACATTACTTGCACTTGGCCAGGTAGATATTTCTCCAACTGTACAAACAAGAGATTCTGCTGTAAATCCATTGCAATGGCCATCGTATGAGATAAAATTCTCAGGATGTTTACAGAGGCTTTCCAACAATACAATCAGTTCAGCAGAAGCAGCCATTGGATCTTGACGCATAGACATTGGAACAGTTCCAGCATGCCCTTGTGAGCCTCTTACTGTAACCTGAAAATGTTTGCAAGTAAAGCTACTCGATCAATTTTGAGTGGCATCTGATTAGAAAAAAAAATGTTTAACTATTCTGCTAGGATTTTGTTTTATTTAGTTAGTCTAATTTCTAACTTTGTTCCACAACGAAGTTAGTGAGTTCTTGCTATATAGGTTTAGGGAAGTGCCCCGATTGGCTCAGAAAACATGTAATTTTATTCTTTAAAGAAATTAACCCATTTCATAGAGGAAAATCTTTCCACAATTTCATTTACTTGTAATCCCCATTATATTCTAGATTCAGTAGAATCTTGTCAAGATATTAGTTACTTGTCCAAAATATCTTAGATTAGGAAATCTTTTTTCTTCAATCTATGAATAGATGGATGAACTGAGTTTAAAAAGAGATTTTGGTAGTTTTATCTGGATGAAAATTGAGAACTTCTATTAGATAAATATTAAATACTGTACGAGTAAAGACCTTGAATAATAATATTCCTTGATTATTACCCATTTCTTTGAGTTACAGTTGCAGAAGAATGTCATGGAGATTTGAGGCCTAATAATTAAGATTTGGAATCCCTTCTCTGAGCCCACTGCCCATAGTTACAGCTACAAACCTAGTCACTTTATTGAGCCCACTACCCATGGGATCACTTCAAAGAACTGTCCTACATCAGCAACTTCCAATAGAAAGTAGCGATAACCTTGTTATAAAAAACATCCTGCAATCCACACAACTTTCCATGTGATTTACAATCTTTAATGACCCAAAAGCATCATTGATCCAGAAAAATCTCTAAAGAACCATAATTTCCGGCGTCATCAACCAAATTTTAAGTTCAGAAAGAAAATGGAATTGCCCTTCAATAGTGAAAGTCAACATGTATTTGTCTATCTTTAATAGATCATAAACTAGAGATAATGTTAGATAGAAGGGTGGAATTGATGTCATTTTTATGAGAGAAGGTGGTAGGAAATATACCTAGTGATACTATAAACAGTGAAGAAACATGTGTTAATGATACTGATGAGGGAACAGTGGTCAAGGAAGGAAAGAAAGCATCAAATGGAGTGCCTTTTTCTCAAAAAAGAAAAGAAAAGAAAAAAGAATGAGATTCTACTGGAAAGGGCTATTTTGATATGAATTTCAACATACTATATGTGTTTTAAAACAATAGACACTGTCAAATTGTAAATATGCCAGGTATTTACTGCAATAACCTGGATACAAGATCTATCTTTGGTTCCTCACACCTTATCTACCAAGCACTGACATAGTTATAGAATTAGAAAAAATGAATGACCAAAATCATAACCCAACTGTAAAGTTAATTACCATAATCCTAACTCTGTTACACAATTCAATTATCTTCTGAAAGACTATACCTAACAAAAACAGGACTCACTATAAATAGTAAGCCTAGGATTTACTGCAACTTGTAAAGCAAATTATAATATCAAACTAGTGAACTCTTTCTTGAAGCTAACTGAAACATTCTTCTTTGTAAAGCAGATATGGCCTAATTTCTATCTCATAATTCTTCTTTTTAGTTCAACTGCATGTTTCAGTCAGATAACACCCTATCCCAGTCTAAATTTACAGTTTCAGCTGCCCAACTTTAATTCCATCAACAGGATTTCCTCAATTTCTTACTCTTTACAAATAACCAAATGAAGATAAAGAAAATATGCGCTTTTAGATGTATCCTACCCAGTAATCTTAACTAGCACCTTGTCTCCATGATTATATAAGACATTATGACCTATTACCAGATATCAGTTACACTTCATATTTATTAGAATTTAATTTGTTTGATAAATATATACCTTGTTTCACAAAATGGTTTAACTCTCTAAAATTTTTTCTGGCAATAGCATAATTCCTACTTCCACGTCCACTTCACATTTAATTTGAATGGTTGAAACAAAAATGTGATGTATATATGAACGAAATGTGACAGATACCTTTAAACGTGTCTGTCCAGCTATACCTTTTACCACCCCAAGAGGAAGGCCAAGTGACTCTAGTACAGGGCCTTGCTCAATGTGAACCTGTGGCATCCATGAGACAAAAAGGAAGTAAATTTTGAACAATTCACGTTTTAATATGACAGTAAAATAACCCAGTGGGATAAACACAACTAGCAGAAGTACCTCAATATAACCCCAGACTGATTGTGGGTCATACTTGATCTGAAGAAGGCTTTCCTTTGTAGCTTCAAAAGAGTTCTCCTTAAGAACATTTTGCACTGTCACACCACTGAATAGAGCTTCATATCAAATTTAGTACTTGAGAGCATTGTTAGAGAGAAGTATGTGTTTTCAGATAATTAAATTACCTCCTGTCAGATATCTGCAATGCTGTGATTGGTAAAATACCAGATATAGCAGCACTCCCTAAAAACGTTGATTGAAACCTAACGCCCTCCTCATCACTAAATGCAATCACCTGCAATTTACAGTAAATAATACAAAAATAAGGTTGAACTTCAAAAAAAAAATGATCATGCAGCCAAGGTTCCAACTGATTTAAATTATCAATTCATATGAGAGGTAATACTAGTACAAGAAAAGTAAGTTCTTTTCAGGACCTCATATGTTTCGAAGTTTAGAAGAATAGCATGTGAACTAGGAAAGCATGCCAGCTAAATCAAGTATCACTTGGATCACTTCTTTAATATAAATAAACGCTTCTATTCTTCCTTACTTGTTCATGAGATTTTTTAATGCTCAAAGGTTATTGCATCTTTAGATATCTAAGGGACCATTTGATAACAGCTGAAATTTCTGAACAGGATGATTTTTTATTTTATCTTTTAGAAGATAAAATAATTGAATAATAAAATATTCAAAGGTATAGTAATCTACCCAATTTCAGATTCATGCACTAAGGAGCACACAAGCTCCTTAAAAACTTGTCTCTAAAAGACAAAGCTATAAGCTTTTCAGTTCAGCCACTTCAACTATTATCAAACGGCCCCTAAGTCTGTAATCATACAAAAATCCATTCTTTCACCATTTAATGGGAGGTCATGCCCAGTCTGTAAATGTGTACAAACATAGAAATCTTATTGCCCTCAAGAGTCCAGAAAGCCTCCACATGTAATGCTGCTAATATCATCAAGTGCCAAAGCCAAACCCATCAAAAGATTACTTGCAACAACAAAAGAATGCTTCTGAGGTCTCCACAAACCTTCAAAAATTCTCACTTACTGAATTACTGTTACTAAACTCAATAAACAAAACCACTAGTAATTCATAATTAAGAAGAAAAGATCAATCTGGAAAAGAGTAACCAAATCCATATGACAGCACATAATATAAGGGACAACTCAATCAAGTTTTCAGCATCAGATAACATGATAAAAGTAGAAGAATCCAACTACACCACTAACCTCCACTGGTCTACTTAATTTTCCCAACTTCCCAGTGGACTTCAAAACCTTCAATGCAGACACTGCACAAATTATACCTAATGCCCCATCATATATTCCAGCATCAATCACAGTATCCTGTTTGAATATAAAGTAACTATAAGCCAGAAGGATGTAGAAAGCATACTTCATATAACACATTCTTAAAGAAAAGGATGAAGAAAGAGATCAGATGTATCACCAAATGAGAACCAATTAACAAAGCTTCAGCACTTGCATTCATTCCTTCAACTCGACCATGTATGTTGCCTATCTGGTCCACCCACCTAAAATCAACATGGATATCAGTAATTGCTAAAACACTGTAGGAACAAAGTGAGATATGAAACTAACGTTCTCAAGCCGGCCTCCTCCATCCAACTCCGAATAAGATCCCCAGCTCTTGCAGAAGCTGGGCTCAAGAATGTTCGCTCAAGATATCCTTCGGCATCAGTTACCTGTTAAAAGGAATAAAAAGTAGTGGGCATATGGTTTGATGCATATAGTGAATCCTTGAAATATCATCAGAAAAATGACTATTGCCATTTCAATTGTTATATACGGTACCTATATTTTAGTTAAGAAAAGAACCAGAGGAATTTGGATATAGCAAAGTTGCAGTTTAGCATCAGGTCATTTGAAATATTAACTAATTTGGATATGCATCATGGATACAACAATGCAATTATCAAACTTCATCATGGATATCCATCCAGAGGAAAATGAATTTCATGGTGTTAGCAATTTGATTACAAATAAAGCAATTATCAAACTTCATCATGATCTGTTCCAGAATTAGAGTTATTCAGCTATAGAATTATAATATCTTAATGTAATTGAACAGTATAACCAGTAGCAACGTGGAGTAAGAAATTGGACAACTTACAAGCTCATCCTTCTATGTGGCACTGGGAACGAGAAACATATGTCAATTTCAGTAACTTTCTTATCTAAACTATCGCTCTAGATTATATACTCTCTAACCCACTAAAGGTTGTACTATAGTGTATCCCTTTCTAACCATACAGTGAAGGCTGACACTTTATTATTACCTACTTACCTTCATGAATTTATATCCATTTCATGCAACTTATGTGTTTTAGTTTGTCTGAATACAAAGCTGAAGCACCAGCATGATGACACAAGCTTCATTTTGATTAGGGCTGCAAACAGATCAGGTTGGATTCAAATAAAGGTAAATCTAAATCCAATCTATAAGCATCCAGAATATCCAAATTCTATTGATATTTAACAGATATATGAAACAAGATTCAACTTTGATCCATTTATTTATTCAGATATCTGATTTGATTTGAAACTCAATAAACCTGTACAAAACAAATATAGGTTTATCTAAATCCCAAGTCCCAATTAATCATAAGTAACTTTAAAGTAAATTTCAAAATGGTTTAATAGTCAATATGCATGTATACATATTATATAATTATATATAATTGAATAACGTCCTAGCAAATGTTACATGGACTCTCCAAAGTGGATGAAGTGTCTGTGTTGGATATGTGTTGGACTCCAAAACTGCATAGTCCTTGAAGGAAATTCTATGTGACATTTTTATTTATTTTTCTCCTTGTTTATTCAACATAAATTAACAGATTATATTTCTTATAAAATGTTATTGACAAAAATGTTCTTTTAGATTTTTTTCTATAGGTTTACAATGTTAAATTCATCAAAATATGAACTGTTTTAATAGTTTATACTTTTCTATAAATGTGTCCGCATGTCCTTGTTTCTTTGTCTTGATAAGTCAGACTCCTGGACATGTGTTGGATCAGTGTCCATGTAAAACTGGTCCTAATAGATCAGATCAAGCAAAACCCAAATTCCTGATTAATAAATGGATCATTTTTTTCAAATCTGATTATGGTTAATTAAATGGATATCCAAATATGACTTAGACGAACCAGATTCAGATTTACAGATTAAATCCTATCTATGAGAAGCCCCAATTTTCTTTAATCAACGTTGGATGAAATTTAGCATGTCTATTTTTACTTTAGTGGCATTAAGTGTACAATTTTACAATTCAGATGATTCCATTACTTTAAGTTCAGTTTATGCACTACTGTAAGATTGCTGTTTATAAAATATATGTGGCACACAAACAGAAGTGCTCAGTATCCAGACGGTAAATGCAAGTTCCCCTTTACCACTTAACCATATTCCAGGAATCACATAAGCTATAAAATAGTCTTCCCAATTACCGGTCACAAGCAACTAATATAAGCATCTTGAATAACACTTAGTAATGCAAAGATTGATGCTCGGCAAATTATACACAGATAGAAGAATATATCTCAACTGTCCAACAAATTAAGAGAAAACTCTATACGATTCCACGTTAGTAATGCAAAGATTCTCTCTCTGTGACTACTCTTATGGCCTTATCCATCTCACAAGTAATAGAATATTGAGGCAAAAACTTTAACAGAGTGAAGCTTGTTCTAATACCTTTCCGAGTTCTTTGAGCCTAGCAACTGCCTCATCTCTTAAAATTTCTGGAAACAAACCATTTTTCCTGGTCTTTGCATCATCCAGCGCAATGCCCCCTTATTAAACAGAAATTGTCAGAAAAATAAATAAAGAACTATTGCCCTGAACTTCAAAGTACTAGGTAGATATAACGTTGATAATGATAACATTGACGTTATTTTCGGTGTTGTTTTCACTTTTCAGCAATCATAACAGTGCCAATAGAAGGCATGAAATGGAAAACTATTCACCAAAATAAAAAGTATTAGTATTAAATTATTAATCAAATGGAACGAAAATGCAGAGCTAGAACTCATTATTCACAGACTCAATATCTCAAGTCCAGCAACAGAAACAAGAAATATGTAAGACATTTACATAGATTTCAAGTTGCATTTTGCCCAAAATATGGTAAACAATATTCCCTGGAAAAACCAGCCTAAGAACATTGAAAACATTTAAAAACAATATCCACGATACTATACTGGAAGAAAAAAAAAATCGTTACTGGGCGGGGAAATAAAGAAAATCTGTTAAAATTCGAATCGGATTCCACAAAGACTATCCAAAAACAACATTCCCGGAACCAAGGACCACCTTTCTCCCGTTTTACCTGTAAAATGAGACGCAGAGGCAATGGATGAAACAATAAAGAGAACAAGAAACCGAGACAGAAGTGAAGTAGTTGTCAAGTTTACGTTTACAGAAACGTTATCCTTTCTCGTACAAGACGCCATGGCTGCTGCTGCTGCTGCTGGTAAGAGCAGGGAACAGCAGCCAGAGGAGGAGGAGAAGGAGGAGGAGGAGGAGGAGGAACGATTGGTTTCAGACGTCGCCGCTGATTGCAACCGATTCTGTGATTCTAGAATCTTGTTCGCCTTTTATATATGGTGCGTATCTTAGTCACGGATCATGAATAAGACCGCAACAAAACAGAGCTAATGCAACTTTCTTTTGTTTTTTTTGGGTGGTTAACGTACGCTGCAGTGCGAGCTCCACCACCATTTCTATTAAATCACAGCATGTGGAGACGCCTGTTGGTGTTGGAGCTAAAGGCAAAGGGAAAGGTCAGTGAATCTCGTCATTTCATTTTGTTTTGTTTTCTAACAAAGTGGCCGAGGAGTCGGTGCGACAGTTTGTATGTATGGCCACCACTCACCGCACCAGAGATGGAAGTCTCGAGCTTCAACACGTCTCTTCCTCTCTCTCTCTCATTAATGAAGAAGAGGGCAATTTGGGTATTTTATATTGATTACGTGGACACAAAAGGTGGCTAATACCAAAGATTCCATTTGATGTTTGTTTTGTTTGTATGTGGGCATTTCGGCATTTCCTTCTTGATTGATCCCACTACTTGCGTTGCGTGGTCCACTGAGCCTGTAATTCTGCGTTTCTGCAAAGCAGTGACGATTGAAGTGGAGAGGAGAATAATAAAATAATGGTGGTGTGGACCTGAGGCCCGGCCCGGTTGGCCGGAAAATTTTTGAGCATTCGGGCTTAGGCTTTGTGCGTTGGCCCAGGTTCGCATTAGGCCCAAAAGTTTGTGGTTCCATAAGAATTAAGTGGGTGTTTGGTATCGGAGCATTTCACAAGCATTCCACCATTTCACAAGTAGGCCTCAATTCACAGTGTTTCATTTTGCCTGTTTTTTTTTGAAAAACACAAAAAAAAAATCGAGATATAGGTTGATGGGGCTTTTAAAGTGATTTAACTTATTATTATAATATATAAAATGATAATTGTATGAGATCTCAAAAAGAAATCAGCTTTTTATATTTATAATATATTCAAGATCACTAAGACGAATCGTCTATTTGACATCTCAATAAAACCCTCCCTTCCCGAATACATATCAGCAAAAAGTCTTAGCACGATAGCTTGCATTTCTTTGATAATCCGGAGACCCCTCAACAAATTTCACACATTTGCAATAAATTCAAAGCACTCGTCTAATTGCTTTTCATTAGGGTTGCAAGACAATTATGGTGCATTAATAAATATTTAGTTAAATTAAAATTATCACATTAGAGATTTAACATCATCTATTTATTTTTGGGATTTTTGGATTGTAATCCCCATATTCTTTCAGAAATCTTTTTTGCAGCCCCCTCCTAATCTACTAGTAGCCCCTTATAAATCACATCCTATTCGTGAATTTGGCATCAATCCACGGGTAGATTCAGTCCACCTCTAGGAAATCCTAGCTCCACCTAGGGGTGGACTGAATCATAAAAACCCCTTTATTTTTTTATTGGGTCACATTTTATAAGATAAAATGTGCAAATATCAAGACTTTAACAATGTTGAAGATGTTAATCATGATTCAGCAATTATGACATGTTTTATCACGAGTTTACAGTATGGCGATGGGGCGGGCTTGGGGTAGGGCACCCCCTCCCCATCCTCGCCCCATAGTCAAGATACTTTGCCCCGTCCCTGATTGCGGGGCGGGTTCGGGGCAGGGCATTCACTCCTTGTCGGGGATGGGTAATCCTCGAAATATCCCTACTCCAAGGCAACTTCTTAAAAATTATTTATTTTGTGGACAATTTTCACATACAATATAGGAATTTAGGGGTATTTAGGAATTGAATTATAATAATTTGGGGATACTTCAAAAATGAAATTATGGGATTCTATGATTTTAAGAATTTAGGGAAAATTTAGAGATATTTTAAATATCAATTTTAAACCTAGAGATATTTTACTAATTTTACCTTCGGATTCGAGGCAAGTTCAGGGAATTATAAACAGAACTCGTCCCCACCCCATCCCCGGTTCGGGGAAAAAATATTTTCCCCGTCCCCGTTTAGGGTCGGGAAAAACCTGCCCCGTTCGGGACGGGGCCCCGGTTTTGCGAGGGAAATTGCCATCCCTAGTTTACACTTCTTTGATTCACAATGTGGTTCATGCATCATAGATTTTGCTTTAAAACAATACAAGAAGTAATGATCCATTAAATGGGCCAAGTGGGTTACTAGAGTGATGAATCATTGACCAAGTCAATTTTCTTTGTAATATAGTGGATTATTGGATTAATTATGTTGACCCAAACTATAACTAGGACTGAGCCACCGGTCCAACCGAATAGGTCAACAATAGATTGAAACAATGACGAAGCATAGAGTTGTCAATGGGTCAGACCTATGATGGGTCAAGTTAGGCTTGGTCCCAACTCAAGGTCGAATCGTTTTTGCCTCTACGTCACAGGTCACCAATTCAAATAGCCTAGTCGAGCAGTTCAAACTTTGCCACATCACTGCATATATACATATATATATATAATGTATGTATGTATGTATATGTATATGTGTATAAAAAATATTTTAGCAATAAATAATGTATAAATATGTTTTAGATATGTTCTATGTATTATTTTATATTTAATTTATGTTTTTAATTTAATTTTTAATTTTTTTATTATAAAATATTAAAAATTGCAATTTTAAGCCAAAAAAGGGTTTTTTCATGAAAATAGCGGGATAGGTATGGCACCTTGGGATGCATAAATCCCGAAAAGTTACCTAAAATAAAAAAAAATCACCACAATCAGACAGCGAAGTGCAAAGTTAGCCTTCAAAAATTTTGCATGCATTGAATGTGCAACCCACGACCTAGTCATCGGGTCAAACGGGTTAATGGTTGAACCGATAGAGTTAAACTATTCTTGACCAAATGAACGATTTTTTATCATCTGATGAGTCTTGACTAAACCAGACCTTAAGTCCTAACCGGGTGATAGTTCAAACGGATCAACTGGTAAGATCAATGGCGAGTTGAAAACATTCATAATAATATAGATCAAGTCCTAAACCATGTTTATAAATACCAGACTCAAAACCAACAACCATGTTAATAATTGGGCTTATTTGATTTTATAAGCTTAGATGTAAGTTATTCACAAGCCCCATCAATCATTTTCTTGTAAATACTTCTCAAAATAAAAAATAACTAGGAGAGGGGGCCCTGCATTGCATTACTCAATGGCCCGAATAAAAAAGAAGTCAGAAATTTGTTTTTTTTTTATTAATTCACTTTACCACACAAGGTAACTAGTACATTTGAAGAAAGACCTTACCTAGACGGTTAGGCTAAGCATAAGAGAAGCAATCTCTATTTTTTGTCATGGTTTTTAAAACTGGACCAGACCGGATGATTGGACTGGAAAAACCGATAACTGATCAGCCCCCAGGTCTGGTTATATTATAAATCAGAAATTCCTTAAAAACATTGAAAAAGTCAAAAAACCGTTGACTCAGGCAGTCGAACCACTAAATAGTTCGACCCGGGCAGCGGTTTGTGGGTTATATTTTTTATTTTTGCCGATTTAAATAAAATAGAAAAAACAAAAAAAATATAATGATTTTCATGTCCCCACCCCAAATCTTACTAATGATTAGGGTTAGAACGACCCCCATTTTCGTTCTAACCCTTCCCTCCTCTCAGCCTTTACACCCAACCGACCACCTATGACGGCTACGATCTACGGCGTCCAACAGAGACACACAGCAACTGACGGCGATTTACAACGATCGACGATGGCGGTGAGCTTCATCTATGGCGGCCAACATTGATTTTGTAGCAGGTCCAGCTGTCTAGTAGTAAAAACTTCGGCGATCGACTTGCAGCGATGGTCGGCGATTTTGCAGCGGCGGGTGGGGTTTCTAGCGGCAATAACAATTGCAGGCTTGTAGCAGCACTTGCAGCGGCAATCACTTGCGACCAAGCCCGAGCCAACCGGCAATGAACCCACCGTCACACCATCGCCGGTCCAATCCATCGGCAATCGTTTGACCCGGACAGTTCGTTCAAAAGCTGGGGCAGGCGAGGCGGTCTCAGGGCTCTCCAGAGACTTCAGCTCAGCCGCATCTTTCCTTCTTTTGAACCGATGCCATGCTGCTTGAATGAAGCATGCAACCCATGTGCGCCATTGGTGTGAGTAGAACCGAAACTTTTGTCTAAGTTGCTTGCTATGAAGCATACGGAATTGCAACGCCACAAACTTCAAGTCATCGGCAATGAGTGCGAACGCCTCAACTTCGGAAATGGCCTTGACGGAGCGTGTGGAAGACGAAAGGATGACACTTGGGCGTGGATCAAGCGCCCATGTCAGCAGTTCCTCGCCACAAAAGTCTTTGGGACCAATGCGACATGAATTAAAGAACCCCGTACGACCACCATTGGTAGTATTAGATTCTAAGGAGCCTCGGATGATGAAGAGCATCTCATTCATTGGGTTACCCTCCCGCGTTAGGCACGCCCCTTCAGTCCAAGCAGAGGTGGCGCTTGATGTCTCTACGGAGATCCATGGGTAGGCCTTTGAGAAGAACTTCTTCATCAACTCCCCAGTTCGTTCAAAAATATAAACTGTTTTTTGTATTTAGATAATTTTATTTTTTGTATTTTTTCTTATTTTAGTTAATTTTATACTATTTTTTATTATTTATAAATATTTTTTATTTTTTATTTATTTATGATGTCACGGGTCGAACAATTTAACCTAGATGGTTGAACCGCTTAACCGAAAACTGGTCAGTCGGTTGAATCCGAACAACCATCTACTACTTCCAAATTGGACGCGTCTTCAGTCTCTTTTGGAGTGAAGGTTTTTGGCTTTTTCTTTTTTGTTGTGGAAGGGATTAAAAAAATCTCCAACTAGTCAAAGAATCTTCTTACAACTAGGGCATAGGATATGTAACTTGGATTGAATTGCTAATTTGTTAATTAAATCTTTAGTGGACCAAAACCCTAACCCGAGCGTAATGTAGTTGAGATTCTTGAAATTAGAAAACCCGACTTGTAGTCAAGTCCCTGTTGCAATACACAATAGTAATGTGCACAATACAAACATTAATGTGTGGAAACCAACGAGGCAGAGAATGGGTCTATGTGTGTCTCCATGTTACTTTGTTTCCATGTGCCTATTTTTAACCAACATGCCTTTTGCCATATAACAATTGTTTTCATCGTGGATTTCTACAGTTGGTCAATTCTCCAAAAGTTCGGAGATGGTAATGGGAAAGAAAGAGGACATGAGAAAGAGTGAAGGAGAGAGGAGAGAAGGGAATCTCCTGTGAGAAATCATAGGTCAAAGTTGCATATCGTGTTGTCCCTGGGGAAAAATTGCTTCCCCTCTTTTATAGAGAAAAAGTTAAGGTTATCCAAGAAGAAGTTCTTTCCAGTTAAGAAAGAGGATATTTTCTGTTAAAGAATGAGATATTTCCTTTTATTTGACTATTAAGGGATCATTATCGAAGAATCTTATCCCTTTCGGATTCTCTCCATATACGTTCATTGCAAACCCGCATGCATAATTAAAAGATGTACGTGTAACTGACATTTATTCTCGATCTATTGTGATTCCGCGATTCTGTAATGGTGTCAGGTTCATTGCAACTCTACGCGTGTTCGAGTTCATCGCAAATCCGTTTATGTCTGGGGTTCATCACAAACCAGCGTGTGTCTTACCTTTATCGCAGATTCGTGCTAGCAAAGTTCATTGCGACCTGTCCCAGATGAGTTTATCACAATCGTGGATCTACAATGAACTCATTGCAAACGTGCGATGGATTCTGAATTCATTGCAGGCGTCCATGTAGCGTTGGTTTGACACCCTCTGTACTTTGTTGGTCTAAGCAACCACTATGTACCTACATTAGCCCCTACTTATCGGTAAGTGGGGACTTACTGATAAGCATTTTTTGTCATCGTGTTTGCTTTGGGGTTTTGCAATGGGGCATTGAGGAACAATTTTGTTGATGTTGTGGCAATCTAATCTTTTTGCATTAGGTTTGGTGATCGTTCATGTTCTTGATGAGATGCTCTGCAAGTTTTTGCATGCGAAAAAAAATTTATTTGGAGGAGCATTTTATAAGGCATAGCTCAATACTTTCTGTACTTTAGCCCCCTTGTTTCTTGATAGAAGTCATTGTATCAAGAGACAAGTGAAATGAATAGTTAGCTACTTTAATGTTCACCCCCCTGTATCTTGATAGAATGTCTTCTATCGAGAAACACTTAAGTTAGGTGGTGGCCAAATACGAAGTGAAGGCAAAGGATTTGATGGACTTCAAGGTGCGTGGGCAAGGTTTTAGAAAATATAGTTGATATGAAAAAGGATTGGGCTTATGTGGACACTCATAGTCACAAATTATGTAAATCACATTTGTGGAAAGAATATATGAAACTTTTGTCTTATGCCAGTGTTTAAGTGCTTTAATTTATTTTGTGCTAGTGCCTTTATCGCAGTATCGGTGAGCTATTGGCCTTGGCGTATTACGTTCAGGTTCTCACGCATAGAGAACTTTAAATGTAGAGGAAAGTTTTCCCATTATATTAGAGCTCCATATAAAAGAGCCTTCGCAATGACTTCCAAGACAACTTTGTCACTCATCAAGAATTTTTCGATTTTGTAATGAAAATTTTATCGCGTGTTAGTTTGTAGAAAAGAGTCTGAATCAAAGTTGTGTGTGTTGTAGCTTGGAAGTTGCATGGTCTGTGAGCTTTTATTGTAACTTGTATCAATGCAAATGTCGAATGGTTAATCAAATCATTTACAATTGGTCGTTTTGTGCATCCCGTCACAAATAAGTACTTTTCGTAAGTATTCTGGAAGTTAATCACAATCGAGTACCATCGCAAGTGTAATCGGCCTTTAATTGAGAACTACAATAGAAAGAGAAATCGTGTGCCCCTTAGTTTGGAAGCTCAACACAAGTGTTAAACGTCGTTGAGAAAAAAGAATGTTTACAAGTGTCAACTGACATTGGAAGGGACTTCGCAGGTTTTTTTTTTAGGTAACATAAAAAAAAATAGAATTCAAGTATTTTAGACTCGAGCGCCCGTTGGACTCTATCGCAATGAAGCACAGGCATAGTAAACTTTATCGCAGACCGTTAGAGAAATCGAACAGTGTTATTTCGTCGTTCTGAGATACTATCAGATGTGAGTGAGCTAACTCAAATAATGTAAATAAGTGACTAGCATATTCATAGAAGGGGGTTGTCCAATACCTACATGAACTGCGAAGTGAGCGTTAAGGTCCGTTTTTGTAGAAAATGGAAGTTGAGCTAATTTGTAAGGGGATTGCATTTCGCCGCCCATATAAGGGTCGAGGATTGCCGTGCCTTAAGAAGGCAAGGTCCTTCATGTGTGGTGATTTGAATTTAGTTCTTAGACAATCGCATTTGTAGATAATAAAGCATCTGTATTCATGGATTGGTGAGAGATCATACCTGATGTTGCCAGGGGATGTGAGTGCAAGCCTGAGGTTGCCAGGTGATATCAGCGTGCTTGGGGTTGCCATGGAATGAGAGTGTGTCTAGGGTTGCTAGGGAATGAGAGCGCCTGGGGTTGCCAGGGATTGAGAGCGCCTGGGGTTGTCAGGGCCTTCGCATGGAGCATGCGGCATGGTGGAACCGGCCACGCCATCGTGGAACCGGCCACGCCATCGCGGAACCGACAATGTCATCCTGGAACCGACCAGGGAATGAGTGTGCGCCTGGGGTTGCCAGGGCCTGCGCATGAAGCATGCGGCATCATTGAACCGGCCACGGCATCACGGAACCGGCCGTAAAATCCTAGAAGAAATTAACCACATAATTTAATTAGAAAAGCATAATTAAGATAACATGCGTTTAAGTAAATGATAACAATTGTAAAGAAGGCTGAAATGCAAACCGCTAATTTACACCATGAATTAGATGTTCACAAAAACAGTGAAAATGCTAAGTAGGGATAATTGATAATAATGGATATTATTTAATGACCCGGGGTGAAGGCCTAAATGTGAATAATCCTAGCAACGTAAATAATCCTAGAAATTACTAATAATCACAGTCAATGAACATAATAGAGATACTGTACATATTTAGAAAGATATTGTGCTTATAGAGAATATTTGCTCCTCCATTTATTAGGATGTTGCTAATTTTAGTCTTGCTAATTTTGGTCTTGCTATTTTTAGTCTTGATGTAATTGTATATATATTGGTTGTCCCCTCCGTTGATTAATACAAGAGTGACCATTCTTTTGGGTAATCGACCTTTGCAATTATTCTTTATGGTATCAGAGCCATACGTACACCATGGCTGACAAAAATAAAGGAGAAGGAGCGGCTGGCCATGGTGCGAAACTACCAACCCTTGATCCAAAATTCCCTTATTATTTTGGTTCGCATGACAACCTCGGCTTGGTCGTGACCCTGATCGTCTTGAAAGGCGATAATTATGACGAATGAGCCAAAGCCATGAAGAACGCATTCCGGGCGAAGAAGAAACTGGCTTTTCTTGAATGAACTATGATGAAACCTAGTGACGATCCCAACGAATTAGAAGATTGGTATAGTGTGAATTCCATGTTGGTAGCATGGATATTCAATACCATAGAACCAGGGCTACGATCTACAATCTCCTATATGGAGACAACAAAGGAACTTTGGGAGGATCTTCGGGAACGGTTTTCTATTGGGAATGATCCGCGGATTCACCAATTAAAGAGTGACTTGGCCAATTGCAAACAAGAGGGCATGACCGTATCCGCATATTATGGGAAGATGAAGACCATGTGGGAGGAGTTGGCTAGGTATGTGAAGAGCCCACAATGTACGTGTGGTGGATGCAAGTGTGGAGCGGCGATCGAACTGGCGTTGGAGCGGGAAAAGGAGAAAATTCATCAATTCCTCATGGGTCTTGACAGTGCAGTTTATGGCACTGTTAGATCAAATATTCTGAGTACAAATCCTTTACCTTCATTGAACCGAATACATGCAATAATTGTGCAAAAAGAACGGCACAAAACGGTGGCTCAAGCACGTGAAGAACGAGGAGAGGCTATGGGATTTGCTGTGCAAACTGGAAATAGAGCCAAAGTACCGAACAAGGATGAGAAGATGTGCTCCCACTGTGGAAAAACTGGACATGAGGTGCTCGAATGCTTTCAACTTGTGGGCTACCCAGATTGGTGGTTTGCAGGCAAAGGAGGTCGTTCTAGTGGTTGTGGGGGATGAGGAGGTCGAGGCACAGGAACAAGAAGGGGTCGAGGAGGGTCTGGTACAGCGACTGCCAATGTTGTCCAGACACCAGGAAGCTGCGACGCCAGCACCACTGCTACTGTTGCCCGGACTAGCGATAAAACTGGCTTTCCCGAGCTTAATGATGAACAGTGGGCAACGCTAATGGCGGTGATCAATTCACACAAGGAATCCGCTTTAGAGAAATTGACGGGTAAGAAAATATGGTTGATAGATTCGGGATGTTCTCACAATATGACCGAGAATTTGGAGTTATTGAAGAATGTGCGTGAAATCCCTCCTTGTGCCGTTGAACTTCCTGACGGAAAGAAT